TCGAATTGAGCTAGATACGAATTTGCAGAGGCTCGAAATCGCTGCAGCCAGGTGAAAAACTCAGGAAAATCCATCTTCTTGTTTGATTGATGAGAACTATGAATCACACTTGTTAAACAGTATATGTAGTTGATAGAATTTCAGACAGAATTTACGTTTTTATATATAGGGCTGCGTTCGGATCTTGAATCTGGATCAAGTGAATTGCTACAATACTTCAAATTTTCTTTTTTAAAATAATAAATTTTAAAGTACAACTAATCATGTTCGATTTGGATGAACACGGTTCGATTTGGACGAACAAACCACTTAAAAGCAATTTGAAGTTTTTCCAAACTAAAAAATCAGCTTTTTCGATTTAATTCAGTGTAAAACAAGGATTTACCAAACGAAATAACATATATTAAACAAATTAAATTAAATATTAATTTAAAATCTCACGCTATAACATAAATATTAGTATCAATACAAATATTACAAACCAAAGATCTACATTTTAAGTCATTGCAATGCAACAACATGATATAAACAGTTTAGGTCTAACCTTTTAGACGATATCAATATGCACAACATCGTCATTCATAACTGTTAGAGTTTTGATGTGACCAGAATTCTTATTAAATATTTGATTGAAAATACTTTTGAAGGTATATTTGGAGTTGATTGTTTTGCAAAAGTTTTGAAGCAATGAAAGACTACAAAGAGTCATAGAAGATAAAAATGGGACCAATGATTGTTAGGATGAAGACTAGGCGCCCAAGCGTGGGGATCCAGGCGCCATTCGGAGCATTATAGAGTTTATTATCTATAGATAGAGCGCTGCCTCCATCACTCGCTAGTTGCGAGGAGTCTTGCTCGTGCGCTGACGCTCGCTTTTCCGTTTGAGCAGTAGTTTTATTCGGGAGAATCGAATTTCACAATTTGGATGGTTTTAGACTCTTATTCAACTTCAAATATTCAATTATTGATTTTACGTATTGTATTTGGACTTCATCTTATATGATAATTCATCACCTATTAATTTTCCTAGTATGTTAGTAATTGTCACATTGTGAATATATGGTGTATTACATATATTTGTTGAGAGAGTGAGAATATAACAAAAGAGAGAGAATCTTGTTTATAGAGAAAGACTTACATATAGAGATATCCAGGAAAGAGTTTTGTAATTCCTTACTTTTGATATAGAGCTTGTTTGGTAGAGATTAAAATATGATTAAAATTGTAAAATTAGCCTTTATTGTTGACTTTTATTAGAGGAG